GGCGTCGCCACCGCCGGAGCTCCGCCGAGCGCCGGCCTCGCGCACAGCCTCTTGTTGCCGCCGTGGATGACAACGGCGACGGGTGGCGTCGCGCCGGCGCCGTCCCGTGCCGCCGCCGCATCGTCGAAGCTCCCCAATGCGGCGTGGCCGAAGAAGGGTAAAACTTCGGCGAAGAAAAACAAGGCGGCGGACGGCTCCGGCGGCACGAAGGCGAGGGGAAAGAAGCTTGCAGTGCGTTCGACGGCCACGGCGGCTCCGGCGGCGCGAAGGCGATGCGTGATGAGGATAGGGAGGAAGATTCATCTTCGGAGGCGGAAGAATCGTCTTCGGAAGATGATGAAGAAGACGAGGAAGATGTTTGATGTGTCTTTCATTTATGTCTTGTGGGTATGAACTTTTAGTTTGCATTTTGTACTTGGTTGGATGAACTTGTGGGCATGAACTTGGTTGACAAATTTCACATGTTCATTGCATTTTGATAATTGTTTCAAACTCATTTTCACGCGCGCCCCGCGAGTCACGCGTGCTGTATTTTTGCGCGCTGCTGGAGCGGCGCGCGCGCGCTGCATTATAGCGCGGCTGCTGGAGCCAGCACTCGCGGCCGCGCTAAATCAGCCGAAGCGCGCGCGGCAAACAGATTTTTTGCGCGCGGCACTTAGCGCGTCTGTTGGAGACGCTCTTAGTTCGCTTTATAGCCATCGCTTCAATCAGTGTCACCGTTTGGTTATAGGTGGTAATATTAACACTTTAACCAGAGCAATCTGTAGGTCTAAATGGTTAAATGAGTACTTGAGTTAGAAGTCAGAAAAGGAGGCATTCTAGATTCTCGTGACCACATTTAAAAAAACCTGAATCACGTTCTTTCAACGCATGTTTTCCTCTTCTTCCGAAGCATATGATTAGGCAGCCGCAATACAAGTTTGTTAATGCTATTACTCGGGTCACCAGGAAGAAGCATACACACAACAAGTCAGGGCACCGGACTTCAAAATTGTATATCTGCGACTAATTTACAAATGTACAGAGTGTGTGACGAGGAGCTATATACTGTACAATACTATATCTGAAAGGGAGATGCTTGTAGAGGCTGAGGGCATGTGAGACAGGCTAGGCTAAACTATAATTTACAGATGGGCTATACACGAGCGGAAATGGTAGGCCAGCCATCAGGTCTTCTGAGCAGAAGCGAGGTGCCCCATCTGCTCGGTGATCTGATCAACGTTGTTCCGGTGACCGAACCAGTAGCAGTCTAGGCCGGTCTTCACATCGTCCTCGGGTCCATGGCTTTCCTCGACGGCTAGCGGCTTGGGCGTGTCCGTGAGAAACCGCTCCCAGAACAGATCGTTCGCCACGGCCGGTTCATGGGGAACTCCGGTCTCGGCCTCGGCCTCGGCGGTCGTCTCGTCCTGCGAAGCGTCTGTGGTGCTGGCCTCGGAGCTCATGTCGACTTCGGCCGTTGTATTGCGCTTGTCTTCGTGAATTTCTGGGAATAGTAGCATTGGACTCTGGACAGCGTAACCCGGAGACTCCGCTAGCTCCGGTGAAGACGGCTGAAGATTTGCTCCGGTCTCCACTGGCGCCGCCTGCAGATCTGCATGAGCCGGATCATCGGTGCTGGGCGCAGCGGCGGCGGCGGCGTTGTACATGTCTTCAGAGGACGACGCATAGTCGCCGGCCCTCCGGACGAGCTTCTCCATGGAGACCAGGGCCAGCTCCATCTTCTCAAAGGGCTCGGCGTTCACCATGACCATGCCCGGCGTCTCACCACCCATCGCCCGCAGATGCGGCACCCGCTGCTCCTCGGCGGGCTCCTCGACGAAGAAACCGATCGTCGGAACCCTCCTCTTCTTGCTGAAATGGTCCGTCGGCTCCAGTTCCAGCATCATGGTCTCCTGCCGTGGATGAACGCCGCCCCGTCTCCTCTGCAGGGTGTCGCGCACGGAGGCCACGACGTCCGCCTGCCGCTGCTCCATCGCCGTCAGCCGGTCCTCCAGCGACTGCATCAGCCAGCTGAGCCCGCACTGCTGCTGTGCCTGCCTCTGGAGCTCTGCCACGAGCAGGCCGTTCTCGTGCTTGAGCCTGCTGATCTCCTCCTCGTACTCGCGCCTCTCCGACTCCGCCAGCGGCCCGTTCACCTGGTTCTGCGGTGAGTGGCTGTGCACCGGCTTGCGCCGGTGGATGTTCTTGAGGAGGTGCATGTGGCCCCTGATGAAGTCGTCGTTCGCGAACTCCCATCGCTCCGGGTCGATCTTCCGAAAACCCTGAGAGACGGCATATGAAATCAGTAACAATGGCAGGAGAAACTCTTTGCGAAATCAAACATGGAGTGGGGCAACTGACGTAGGTGTTGAGCTGCCGGATGAAGCTGGAGAAGTTGTTGTGCTTGAAGTACTTGGGCAGCAGGTCCCGGGAGAAGTCCGGCGGGTTCCACACCACGAAGCTGGCGCCGCCGGGGCCCCACGACACGACGCGGCTGGTCGCCGGGTCCTCCACCATCTCGTACGTCTTGATCAGGAACGGCGCCGGCGAGAGCGAGGCGCCCTGCGGCTGCGGCTGCGAGCCCCCCTCCATGTCCATCTCCATGTCCGTCGATCGGCCCAGCTCGGCGAGAAAGTCTTCAACCGGATTAGATTGGATTCGGTGCCGCTCTTTGTTCACATGAATCAAACTGCATGCGGTTGAAAATTCTCTGTAACCAAGTGGGCAAAGACGGCGACTTGTCGTGGATCGGATCGACTTGTTCTGCAAGCACGGACGGAAGCAACACAGCCGGTTAATTAAGCAAGCGTAGCCGTACAAGCAAAGGGTGCAAACTGAAGTGCAGTAACAGTCAATAATTGGCAACTTGGCCGGCGTCCGGCGAGAAATAGGGGACGAGAGAAACGGAGGAGAACTCCGGCTCACCTGCGGCAAAGACACCGGCGAAACCACGGGTCCTTCCGTAATTCCGTTCCGGCCGGCCGTGATGTCGAGCTTCGAGGTGGTTCCGTAGGAAAACGCAGTGGAGGTGGCGGATCCGGAGGTAGAAGAGAGGGAGGGACCGGGGTGGAAAAGGCGGGCGGCGCCACCGGTGCAGGTGGCGCGCGGGCGGCCTTTATAGGGCGGCCGTGGTCGCGCGACGTGGACGCGTGGTTGCGTTTGTGCACGGGCTGGTCGTTGCATGTGACGTTTGACTGACCAGCGCATGGCGCGGCTGTCGTGGCGTGTCCCGCTTCTAGATGCGGACCGGCAGCGGGTCGTCGGAGTCAGCGGACCAGCTAGCTAGCGCGCACACGATTCCACTCGTCCGGCGACCGGAATAGATCACGGTCGATCGATCACTTGGACACAGTGGGCCGCAAGCTAGTGTCGTTTCCTCGGATGCAATATGGAGAGAATGGCACACGGGAATATCCTGCAGCCCGTCGCGCGTGAACTGTCCAAGATGAAGCGGACGGCTCTAAGAATAGTCTTTCTTTTTAGTAATATATATATATAAATATATATGTGTCTCATTAATAAAATAAAGATTCATTTACAAGCCAAGTAAACATCGACATTACATGACTGAAAAGATAGGATAATCCTATGAAAAACCATCGCCTGTTCCTCTCCATTAAGTAAAAGAAGACAGATCACCTCTTCATTCGAGTTCGGCTCCATTGCTGATCAACAATTTATGGACCTCTGCATGGCGCCTTACCTCGCTTGCAGGGAAACTATGCACGTGAAGAAGAACGGGTAGAAATTCCAACCAGCCTAGTCAACAAGTCTCCGCGGCAGCCGTGTGGACACGATCTATCGGCGATCCGTTACCGTGCGAGAATTTTCACCGGCGTGCATGCATCATGCATGCGCCCGCGCGTGGAAAAATCTATCTGGGCGATCCACCAACAGCGATGTTTTTTTCAGCAATCCATATAGAGTTATAGACCGTTCCCTGTCTGTCCCCGGCAATCAATCACCACAACTGTCTTGCGCGTCAGCTGCGCCGTCAGGGAAATGGACGTGTGCATCTTGGTAGTACTGAGTGCATGGACTTGATTAGCTGGGTGGCAATTTTCTTGGCGATTTCACCCCATATCTGCACGGGGAACTCTTGTTTTCAGATCAGCATCTAGAAACTCTGGAATTTACTTCCCGAAAAAGAAAACTCTGGAATTTACCGTGGACTTATATTGAAACTGTAGTAAAGATCTTATTCCATGAAACTGATGAAGACGGAAGAAAATTTTCCCATTTTTTTCCTATGGAAGGTTAAAATGCTTTCTATAATTATAATTTTCTTGTAGCTGGTGTTTGGGATCAACATTCTGATAAAAGACAACCTGATTAGAAGAGGCCGGATTGGAGCGCGCCCATTTTCTGTGGCGGAGAGGAGTCTGCGCAACACATTTTATGTGCAATGTTCTGTTTCCAAAATGCTATTGAACATTCCAAAGTGTGCTTTCAGTTTAACTGATATTCCCGATAGCATGCATGATTTTTTTTTGCGGGTACATGCATGAGTTTGATGTATGTTTTTTTCTTCATTTTTTGCAAAAGCTGAAAGGCACATGATGTTGGTTGGTGTCTCAGTAGTTCTGTGGGCAATTTGGATATTAAGAAATAGCATAATATTTGATAATTAACAAGATTAATGATCCTCGTGTTCCTATCAATATGATTGCCAGATGGTTGAATGATTGGGTACTTTTGCAGAAAAACCAGAAAAGTCCAGAAACCCTTAGATGGGGAGTTAAGATGTTCGAGCTGATTGCAAATAAGTTCTTTAGTTGTGCATGGCTGGCGGGTGGGGGTGAACTGGATCATGGCAACGTGAGAGATGAACCTTCTTTGTCTACGCTCCATCTACTGCAAATCAGTTCTTTAGAGTCGTGCATGTCTGGCGGGTGGGGGTGAACAGGATCATGGCGACGTGAGAGACGGACCTTCTTTGTCTACACTCTATCTACTGCAATGCTTGCTCTGAAGTTTTCTTTTGTTGCTTCTGCATAATGCATGCAAATGTAATATATATCCTACTACCTTCGTCCGGGTTTTTAGGTCCCCTCAGCCAGAACGTATGGACCAAGGCGGCTTCGAACATGGAGATAATGCTTGGATTAGAGCCAGTAGTTATGCACGAATTTAATGCCGATAAACCAGGCCATGAGGCTCACAACAACTACGCCTGCCCTTTTCCCTGCATGAGCAATGCTACACCTACGAATGGTTTAACATAATGTTATGTAATTAGACAGCTGGCAGGTTATGATTGGGGTTAGAGAGAAGGCGGGCCCCACCCCACTTAAAATCAAGGGGGGGGGGGAGGTATTGATGGAAGGTTACGTAAAAGATTTACGTTAGTGTTCGTAGGTGTAGAATTATCGGCGCGGTAACCGTGGCTGCATGGCCAATCGGGCGATTAAAGATGCTTGCACTAGCTATTTCCCACACATTAAATCTGCATGTGAGATTAATTCGGAGAGAAAATCTAGGGGCTTTCCTCGTAGGGGCCTTGTAAAATTGTTACACGGTATGGTGCTGACGGGACCAATAAACCAGGACGGAGGTAGTACCTAAGAATGTTGTTTGATAGGTGCTTCGCATGAATTGTTGTATGTTCCCTTGCCTAGGCGTTTTAGCTCTTTGTTTTGAGGGTTCGACTTGTGGATGCCCAAAACTATGAGTTTGTTCTAGTTTAGATCATCTACTTATCTCTTTAGCTTTATTTTGGTTAGTAGTTAGATTTCAATTAACTCTCTGGTATCTAAAAAATTCTCATGCAAAGCAGGCACTAATATGTATCCGGATCACATTGATGTTGGGTTATCTTTATAATTGTCGGTCTACTAGCTCTCTATTCAGTTCATTTATATGATTATCTCTTGCATTGTGAGGAGGTATACATACATGTATATAGATTATCACAAACATCAAATGTGCTCTCTAACCGTCCTAAGCAATTCAATCTACTTTAGGTTGGTTCTCTGTCTAAAAAAATGTCAACTTCCGTTGGGTCAGGTAGCTGATTTTGAGATCAACGAGATGTTAGAGTCTGCCCATAAAATAGAGGCGATGGGGAAGTGGTGGCCATCCGCGCTAAATTAACGACGCTCCCTGTGCAAACCATTATCTTGTGTACTCTCAACTATTTTGATGATCTCCTGAGCCGCCATGGCTTCATAGCAACACATGGGCAACGTTCTAGTTTTCTAACATTTAGAGTGCATTGAACCTCTTGAAGATTTCATGTGCACCAGAAGTCGTATTGCATGTTGCAGGTTGGGACTTTACCGAAGTGCACCACGTCCACCAAAACCACCACCGACATGTGTAGCACTCGATCTATTTGGTGTACTCTTCAACTATTTCACTATATGGTGTACTCTTCAACTATTTCACTATCTGGTGTACTCTTCAACTATTTCACTATATCCAGTATGTCAAGTTGCAAAAAAAAAAGCCTATATCCGATCTGTCTAGTAGTTGAGGATATTGAGATGTGATGCTCTCACACTTCGTTCGGTTGTAACTACTAACTAGGAGCAAAATGTAGATGCAGTATGTGAAAAAAAAACCTCGCATTGAACACGACATGCTTGACGCGGGTATCTAGATCTCATCAGGTCATGTATGTTTACCACCTAGTACATGTTTTATTTATAAGTACTTGTACTATGTTCAATTTGATCGGTACATAGATGGCAACACTGCTGCGGGACTTGAGTAGTTGAATATAGATGTTAATCGGGCTCACCAACTCACCGGCGCACTATAGTTTGACTGGCACAACAACTTATATAAAGCTCCTAGCCAGTGCTCGATTCATAGGCCAAAGAGAAGAGGATCCATGACAAAGGTGAGCTGAGATGCTAAGATCAAGAGAAGTGCAAAATGTAGCCATAGGAGTGGGAGGTGTCGGTGAAATGTTGGCCACGGCGAATATCAGTGCAACTTGAAATCATGAATGACATCGGCTGAATGAAACTTCTCGCATGAGAAAGAGGATACGTGTTGTGCACAACACACATCGAGCATGCTCTACAATGCATCCTTTAATTTGTTCCCTTTGTTTCTTTCATCGCAATATAGCTGGGGCTCTCCGGCTCCTCATCTCACTACCCTTTCGGCAGAACCGCTCGCGTTCTTTCCATTGCGACGGTGGAACTATGGTGGTACTACCTTAAAGCATGTGAGCGCGAGCCCTCTATATGGATTACTCGATCCTTATTGTAGGAATAGCCAACAAAACACAAGAATTTGCTCCGCCAAAATGTCTTAACAAACCAAATGGACTTGGGAAGGAACCCTTATGAAAAGGGACCAACGCAAGTTAATTGGTCCTCTGAATCTGGCGCCAAGGCGCCAACCGCGAAGAAGGCAGCACAAGCTTTTGGCAAAGGAGCATAGTGGAATTGGGAGCGAGCAGGGGTAGACGAATGACCGAGGCGGCCGTCGGCGTGCCACCACCGGTGCAGGTGCTGCACGGTTGGCCTTTATTACATGGCGTTGCGCGCGCATCTTACGGGCTGGTCGTTTGCTTGTCTTGTGGCTAGGCTTGCTTCTAGAATCTACGCCCTCCGTTCAGAAATACTTATTGAAGAAATGAATATATCTAG